CGATCTTTGACCAAACAGCAGTTAGCCTTAATCTGTCTCATTTTTTGGATTCAAATTAGAGCAATTTTTATGCACCTGACTTCAGAAAAGAAACCAATTAGACGACTAACTTTTAAGACTAGTCTAGCTGGTTTTATGCACTCGGCATCAGGATGTAAACTCAGTGTAGAGACCGTGTTTATCAGGACTTTTGGTGTCTGACCGTAGTGTGATGTTTCCTTCACAGACCAACCAGAAAACCAACCATGTGCGACGACGAGGAGACTACCGCCCTTGTGTGCGACAACGGCTCTGGCTTGGTCAAGGCTGGATTTGCCGGAGATGACGCTCCCCGTGCTGTCTTCCCCTCTATTGTTGGCAGGCCCCGTCACCAGGTGCGAACACAGCTGCAGAACAATCATTAGAGAGGAGATCCTCTCCTGGTAGGGTCACTAATCACGCTTCTCTCTCCATCAGGGTGTGATGGTGGGTATGGGTCAGAAGGACAGCTACGTAGGTGATGAGGCTCAGAGCAAGAGAGGTATCTTGACCCTGAAGTACCCCATTGAGCACGGCATCATCACTAACTGGGACGATATGGAGAAGGTGCGATTTTTAGTCGAATTCTATAGTTAAATGCATGCATCTGGCATTGTGATTAACACAGTCATCTGTGCCGTTCAGATCTGGCACCACACCTTCTACAATGAGCTGCGTGTGGCCCCTGAGGAGCACCCAACCCTGCTCACCGAGGCCCCTCTCAACCCCAAGGCCAACAGGGAGAAGATGACTCAGGTACAGATGAAGAGTCTGATGGTTTCTCAGAGACAGAGTCAGACTGCTTCATGACACTCGCCTGCTTTGCTCTTGCAGATCATGTTTGAGACCTTCAACGTCCCTGCCATGTACGTGGCCATCCAGGCTGTGCTGTCCCTGTACGCCTCCGGACGTACCACTGGTGAGTGCTTTTAACACACATTCTCTTATAATAAAGAGCCAAATCAATATTATAGTTAAAACATAAATGCATATTTTGGATCATGCAATTATGCAATTAATGCAATAAGCTGTAAGCTGTAGAAACGTCTTTCTTAAATCCAGTAGAATCTAATTTGAATGTTAAATTTAAAATCTAAAAATCCCAAAAAATTTTTTGCATTGAAATAGTTTCTTGCTTTAAGAGCTAAGATCAGATTGTGTTTCATTGTAATTCCCTCTGATGTCCTGCAGGGGCATCATTTGTGAAAACATCTCTTTTTTTAATTTCATTAATTTTGTGATACGCTGGAATCATATAACAATTATTATCATATACCATTATTTTTTATTTTCCATTTTCATTTCAGTTAAAGTTTTAGTCATTTGCCTGTGTCTTTTTGTCAATTTTAATAGGCTTTTAATCTCTATAGAATTTTTATTTAGGTTTTAGTTATATTAGCTCTTCAAAACGAAAATGGTGAATCTTGTTGCCTTGGCAACAAACTAGGCGATATGGCCCCCCAAAAAAAAAATTATCACAATAAAACTTTTCATATGAGTCAAACATCAATACCGATAATTATCGGGAAACATTTCAAGTCTTTATTTCTAGATTTTTTTTTTTAATGGTGCTGTTTCGTTCCGCTTTTGGAGCACAATCATTACATCAAACATTTATCGAACTCTTTTTATCGTTTTATTGATAAACGTTATATCGCGACAATTAGCGTTATTGTTTTATCGGCTAGCCCAAAAGCATTTATTTATATATCAAGTAAAAAAAATGTATAGTTTTAGTTTTAGTTAACAAATTATTATAGATTGAAATCTGGGTTTTTTTTCATTTCTTTTTAAGTTTGTTTGTTTGTTTGGCATGGGTTATATACTGTATTTATCACTAGGGCTCTATTATTTATGAAACTGCATTTGCTTTATTTTTTTGGACCACGGCTGCTGTGTGTTTATCACTAGCGCTGTATTGTCTGTGATACAACAATTACACGCGTCGATGCAGTCTGCATTGTGTAAGATTAGCAGCTGGCAGGTTGACTGCTGTATGCACGATTATTGCTCATTTACCCACGCTGTCCTCCGCAGGTATCGTGCTGGACGCCGGTGACGGTGTGACCCACAACGTCCCCGTCTATGAGGGTTACGCTCTGCCCCACGCCATCATGCGTCTGGATCTGGCCGGTCGCGATCTGACTGACTACCTCATGAAGATCCTGACCGAGAGAGGCTACTCTTTCGTGACAACCGGTGAGTGGCGGTATAGTCTGCACGGGAGAACAGGTGCGAAATAGCAGGAGTTAACGTGCGACCCTTGCCTCTCCTCTCCTCAGCTGAGCGTGAGATCGTGCGCGACATCAAGGAGAAGCTCTGCTATGTGGCTCTGGACTTCGAGAACGAGATGGCCACCGCCGCCTCCTCCTCCTCCCTGGAGAAGAGCTACGAGCTGCCCGACGGCCAGGTGATCACCATCGGTAACGAGCGCTTCCGCTGCCCCGAGACCCTCTTCCAGCCTTCCTTCATCGGTGAGTCTCGCTCGGATGGTCTTTCATTGACACGTACTGATCAGTGTTGTTGACTGAACGCCTCACCTCTCAGGTATGGAGTCCGCTGGTATCCATGAGACCGCCTACAACAGCATCATGAAGTGCGACATCGACATCCGTAAGGATCTGTACGCCAACAACGTCTTGTCCGGTGGTACCACCATGTACCCTGGTATTGCTGACCGCATGCAGAAGGAGATCACTGCTCTGGCCCCCAGCACCATGAAGATCAAGGTGAGATGCAGCAGACATGCATTCAACGATGCAACTCGAACAGAAAAGGTCATGGGTTGGATTCCCGTGAATGCTTGAACTGATCAAACCTATAATGCATTAATGTAAATATTTGTTAACTTCTAATCAATTTTCATTCAGTGTAGTGTATACAGTTTAAATTGCACATTTGCATAGATAAATAAGTAATTACATTTCTTGGTAACACTTTACCATAAGGTCCTATTATGTTTAACAAACAGCAATACATGTGTTACTTAACACAAATGCAACTGTTCATTCCAGCTCCGTTCCAAGTTAAATATTAGCAGATTTTAACAATGTGCACTGAAAAAATGGTTGTATCGAAACAATTTTCACTCAGAAAGGGCAAGTCAATGTCACTATTAGTTACAAAGAAATGGCAAGTAACACATTGAACTAAAAAAAAATGCAATCTGAAACATACTCCAATAATCTTTGTTTTATGTACATCTTTCGAAAAAAAAATCAATGCTTCATCGTGTGTTAGTAAATGTTGAAATGAACGTGAACTAAGATTAATAATAAACGCTTTAGAAGTATTTTCATTCTTAGTGCATGTTAAGTAATGGAACCTTGTTGTAAAGTGTCACCGATTTCTTTTCAAATGTAGTAACGGCTGCAGCTGTTGTCACATGTTAGAGCCGTATTACTCAGCGTTTAAGACACTAAACATGTCTCCGGTCTCTCTGTAGATCATTGCTCCTCCTGAGCGTAAGTACTCCGTCTGGATCGGCGGCTCCATCCTGGCTTCTCTGTCCACCTTCCAGCAGATGTGGATCACCAAGCAGGAGTACGATGAGGCCGGTCCTTCCATTGTCCACAGGAAGTGCTTCTAAACCAATAGCAGTGTCTCAGTCTCAGCCGTACATTTGTACCGTCTCTTTTACTGTATATACATGTAATGTTGTAATAAAAACAGATAACTGATAACAGAGAACAGTGTATCGAGTGATCACTCGCATGACTGCATCAACCCCAAATGCATCAGATTAAATAATGCAAAAAATAAAATAAAATAAATACAGAGGCATACAAAAAAGTGGCAGTGCCATGGTACAGTGTTGATAAAAGCATCCATGGCATATACTATGGTACTACCACAGAATAATTCCTAAAATAAAAAAATATTATGCATTGCATGCTATTAAATATGTATGGAAGCTTGTTTCCGCCACAGAATAAATAAGTTTTTGTTGTTTTTTTACAATTCTGAAACATAGAAGTATAGCTAAAATAAATACATAAATAAATAATTGAGAGATATAAACTCAGAATTGTGAGATATAAAGCAAGCACAGATGAAAAGTCTCAATTATGAGATACAAATTCATTTATTTATTTAGTTTTTAGTCGATGGAAACTACAAAAAGGAATTTTAAACATGCAAGACTTTCAAGAAAAAGGTCAGATAAAAATCTGCTATTACCTTTTTCGTGGGCTTCCATATATATATATATATATATTATTTTTGGGGAAATATTGGCCTGGTTTTACAGACAGGGCTTAGACTAAACCCTGATTAGGCCACAGATCAATTAGGACATTTAAGTAACTTGTATAAACATGCCTTATATAAAAACACTTCTGATGTGCATCTTGAGACAAAACAACAAAGCTGACATATTTTAAGATCAGTCCGTGCAAGATCTTTCAGTTAAAACAGCCCAGACATGCATTTTAGTCCGGGACTAGGCTTAAGACTTCCTAAGGATACTGTGGTAGAACCGTGATATTCTTTAAGAATCATGTAAATGACATAAATGCTCAACTTGTAACATTCTGTCCTAATTCTGGGACATTTACAGAAATGTCTTATTAATGCACAATGTCTTATTAGTGCACAATGTTTTATTAGTGCACAATGTTTTATTAATGCACAATGTCTTATTAATGCACAATGTCCCTGTTAACTAAACAAATTAAAAAATGGTACAAGTTAAACAAGAAAAAACAAGGAAACCAAACAACAACTGGTACAATGATACCACTACTACCAAGGTATCCTTTGTAAAAGTAAGCTATGTTTCAATCACCAGATCATCGGAAACATATGGCACTGATATGGACCCAGCACTTGTTGTGCATGGCTCTGTTGTTCAAGAAATGCATGATATTATGCTGCAGAAACAAATGCTTTAACACGCGAGCATCTGCTGCGCCATCGATCACGCGAGTCACGCGGGGGTGGGGCGTGTCCAGCCCTCACGTGACTCATCGCGGCCCAATCAGAGTGCAGGGAACGCGTGCGTGACGTACGCAGGGCGAAATTTGAACGTCTTCTCCCGAGCTGCCGTTGTTGTGAAGACGGGACATAAAGCGGACTGAAGCAAACACTGGGTTATACGACGATATTTAGACTTTAAAGGCGCGTTTTCATGATATAAAATGAGGTTTAGGCGTAGCAGAGGCGCAAAGCGAAGTATAAGAGGAGTTTGGTGACTGTGAGCGGTTGTTTTTATTGAAATATGTCGCGCGGAACTCTGAGGGGAAAGTAAGCTAGCGTTAGCCTAGCCGTTTAACACATCCAGAACCTTTATTTCGCCTGTTTTTAAACCTAAAGCAGCTTTTAGCGTAGTACCTCTCCGTTTTTATCCGTAATAATGAAGGTTTTGGAGCGAAATGTGGTTCGTCTGGCCGTCGTTCAGCATCTTCGCTCGGTTTATGGAATAAAAATCAAAAACTGGAATAAAAACAGAAGCAAGCAGACGTCGGCGAACACGGTGAGTCCAGAAAACATCATGAAATGTTGATTTTATAATGGAAATACAGTCAATCTAGCGGTGTCTCTACTGTTAGTGAGCTTACTATGAAGACAGCTAAGCCATTTTGTGGGCAACAGTTCAGCTGCGATGCACATAATGCTGTGTATTTGTCACATTCGTTAAGACAGAGGCATATACGAACCTCAAAATGCTGTGTAGAAAGGCAGATCACTCATTATTGAGATACCTGCAGCTATATCTCTGTGTTTTATGATTAATGCTCAATATTCATTAGTTGGAGTTATTTTTGTCGCATGTTTGGGTCACAGTTTAATGTATTGATTGTTCAGAAGTCACACCAATTCCTGTGCATGTGGTTTCTTGTAATACAAAGATGAAAATAAAATCACAAAACACATTGTAGCATGAACGCATGAGACATTACAGAACAAAACACCTGTTCTATAACAGGCCTGGTTTATGGCTGTAAAATCACAGCAGGACATGTGATTAATTACAGCAACGGTTACTGCACACAATCAGTTTGATTCTGGTCTTATGAGAGTAATTTGTGTGTCTTCAGGTCAGCTGTTGATTTTCAAGCACACAGAGCTTCTCTTGTCCATGTTCTTCTCACCTGAACCGATCTCTCTTGTCTTTCTAGGTGAGGGTGTTTGGGGTTGCTCTTGAAGGTCTGCCGCACCGTCCTGTGCTAGACTACGGAGACGTGCCCTGGTAAGACCGAGTCAAACATTTACTTGCATACAGATGACATTTATTATATGTAGAGCAATCAGAATGAACCAAAAACAAAGAGAGAGTGCCCTGGTTGATTTGAGACTTAAACAAATCTAAACGGCACCATTTATCAGCGACTGAACGATGCATAGACCCCACAGCAGTTGCTTTGGTGTGAATGGGTTTAAATGCCAGCGGATGGACACATGCATGATTGCTTCTCGAAGTGAAGATGTGTGCGGCACAGCTCTGGGAGTAGAGGAGTGCGGAAGATCTCTGGAATGTGGTTAATAAGCGTTTAGATCAAATATGAACATCTGCCAAATTATAAAATAATTTATAACTGTATAAATATTTTGCCTGATGCTTTGGACACATTTACCCTATTCCCTATATTGTATTATTTTATATTTATTTTAGGGCTGCAACAACTAATCGATAAAATCGATTATTATCGATAATGAAAATAGCCCACGGTGCACGTCCAACTTCAGCCGGTCACATCAAATTACAGCATTATGGACAAAATGCATCTAAAATAGTGTAGGAAACCGAATGAGATGCTGCGGGAGAAGTACGTGATCCAAGCTGCCCAAACCTTGAGAGTTCTTTATTTTAAGCTTTAACCTAATGCGTTAGCGTAATGGCTTGCCTTGTCAGGCGCTTTGACAGATGCATGTTCGTCCTCAGTGCAAAAACTTTCAGTTTACGGTCATATCCTTATATCGATTAGTCGGTTCTGCCCACGTCCAACTTCAGCCGGTCACGTCAAATTACAGCACTGAAAAGAGCATTATGGACAAAATGCATCTAAAATAGTGTAGGAAACCGAATGAGATGCTGCGGGAGAAGTACGTGATCCAAGCTGCCCAAACCTTGAGAGTTCTTTATTTTAAGCTTTAACCTAATGCGTTAGCGTAATGGCTTGCCTTGTCAGGCGCTTTGACAGATGCATGTTCGTCCTCAGTGCAAAAACTTTCAGTTTACGGTCATATCCTTATCTGTAAATGTAACAAATTCAACGCGAACACTTCCACTTTTGCAAAAAAAGTCCGTTCTGATAGTAAATCTTTACTGAGTGCAGCGACCGTATTGTTTTGATCCTGTAGGCCAAACTGGACCAGGGCGAGGACTGTCTGTCCACTGCTCTCCCGCTGGACGTCGCTGGACTTCTGAAGCAGTTTTTCCGGGAGCTTCCCGAGCCGGTTCTGACCTCTGACCTGCACAGTGCTTTCCTGAAGGCCCAGGAGCTGCCCACGGATGAGGAGAGGACCTCGGCCACGGTCCTGCTGTCCTGCGTGCTGCCCGACAGGAATTTAAACACACTGCGTTACTTCTTCAGCTTCCTGAAGAGCGTCTCCCAGCGGTACGACGCCAAATGCAGCAATGTCTCCGTTTGTCTCGAATCACTTGTTATGCAAATTGCTGGCTTCCCTCTGAATAGCAGAAAAGCTCTTTTGTGTTAAGAGCCTCATGTAAAGTGTGTGTATTGCTCTGTTATTTCAGATGTGCTGAGAATAAGATGGACAGCAGTAATCTCTCGGTCATCTTCGCACCCAATCTCTTTCACTGTGGAGACGGCGGCGACAAAATGAGCAGCAGCACAGAGAAGAGACTCAAGCATCAGGCAGCGGCTGTGCAGCGTCTCATAGATAACGCTCCGCACCTGGGTATGTGTGCCTTCCATATAATTACATTATTAAAACATTCGTTTTTAAAGCATGTTAGGGAGAGGACTGTTGTCTGTCTATCATCTGATTAATCTGTAAAGTAGTCAACCAATTCAATCAGGCATTCCCAAACTTTTTTTAGCAGCTTACAAAATAGTGGATATTTACTTGAAGTCCCCTGCAATTTAAAGCTAATATTTCAATAATTACACAACACATTTTCATGATTAAACTCATTTCATGGTTTTCTGGTGTTGATTAATAGTCACATGCAGGTAAACATAGTTTCGATTGTTCTATTTTAACTTCTTAATTTGAAACATTTTTTGTTATTTTACATTCTTACAATATAATAGATTAAAAGCTTTTCATCTTCTCGTCAACCTCAGTTTGGGAAACCCTGATGTGAATGCATCACAGCCCTGCATCATATCTGCTGAATGAAATCCAGGTTTCTCACTCATTCTGAGCTGCTGTTTCCAAAAATAGTGTCTGTTTTGCTCTTTCACGTCACTCTTTCTCATGAAATCAGATTCATTTTGTAGCATTTTTGCTTTCGATAAGCATTTGTGTATTTTATTATTCTTTAATCAGCAGAAAAACACCACTATTACTATTTGATCAGTTCTCAGCTCATTTTTACATGTATTAATGATTCTGAAGACATTTATTTTATGCCTAATCCTGACTTCCACTCATTTTTAAATGACACATTTTGAATATTTCGTTTTAACATTAAAACCTAAACTTTTGACATTTGACTGCTTTGGATATTTGTGACCCTGGAGCACAAAACCAGTCTTAAGTGTCAATTTTTTGAAATTATTCTGAAGCTGAATAAATAATATTTCCATTGATGTATGGTTTGTTAGGATCGGACAATATTTGAAAATCTGGAATCTGAGGGTGCAAAACAATCTAAATATTGAGAAAATCATCTTTAAAGTTGTTCAAATGAAGTTCTTAGCAATGCATATTACTAATCAAACATTAAGTTTTGATATATTTACGGTAGAACATTTACAAAATATCTTCATGGAACATGATCTTTACTTAATATCCTAATGATTTTTGGCATAAAAGAAAAATGGATAATTTTGAGCCATACAATGTATTGGGTCACTTTTTGTTAAGCACTTTAAAGCTGATACATATGATTTGAAAAATCTTCATTCTTGTTTTGTGAAAAACTGTACATGATGTAATTTTTATTGTTATTATTATATAGGGATATTTCTGAACTCAGCATCATGAAATTAGTTTCAAGATGCATGAATATGAAATGGGATTGAAGCATTGATATGTTCCGTATGCATTCTCAAATGTTCATCTGAATGACAATGTGAGGAATTCTCATTAAAGCTAACCCACCTCACAGAGCTGTTATGGGTCGTTGTTTAAAGGTGTGGTTCCTCAGTTCCTGCTGGAGAAGGTTCCAGCCATGTTGGGTTGTGATCCTGGAGCGTTTTCTCCATCGTCTCTGTCTCTAGAAGAAAGTAACGCTCACTCAGACCTGAAGAAGAGCAACAGACGCAGTTTAGGAGGTAAGAACCATGTCTAAAGTCATAACATGTCCATGGGAAATCACATCACATGACCGGTTTGAAGGAAGCTGGATACGGTTAATAATGGTTTGAAGGCATATAATTAGTTAAATGGGCTTGTTTTGTATTCCAGACATGGTAAATGGAGCTCTGAATAGGTTTAAAACTAGTAGAACCCCAACCCCTCAGTCTGATGGAGCAGGTGGGTGGATGTTCTCATCAGACTTCACTGCTTGTAGATCAGCTGCGCTCCAATCTTCGGGTCTTGAAAGTTTCCTGATTATTGAGTTTAAGATGGCTTTGTCTGCTTTCATGCATCATGTAGATGGGTCTCCGCTTGTTCTCGCTTTATTGTGACATGCCGTTGATAACATACAGCTTGATATTTCTCTTTCAGAGCTTATAAGAATGTTTCCTCTACTTTTAAATCATTTCTGCTCGATTCTCAGTCGGTCACTCAAAGCTTTCTTTGTCATTCTGAACCTTTTGCTTTGAAAATGGCTTCTCTGTTTAATTGAGTATTTACACTACTGGTCAACAGTTTGGTTAGTTCCAAACTACAGAACAATAAAGTGAAAAGACTTTTAACAAAAGCTCTCGTTCTTCTGAGTAAATGAAAGTGTTTTCCCTCAGTTTTCTCCATAGCCACTCCTGTCATCATGACGCCGAACTCCAAGCGTAAGCTTCCTCTGGAGTCGGCACAGACTCATGGGTTCTCCAGCAAGAAACGCAGATCCATCAAGAAGAGCCTGGAGCTGTTCCCGAACACTTTGTTTGGAGGAGCATCTACACCCGGATCAGGTGAGGTTTATGCCCTGCTGTAGCTCCAGGACTCTTGTGTGGCGTGTTTTTGGACGGTTCTGTGTGATCATCTGTTGGCGTGATCTCTCAGCACACAGCGCAGCAGGAGCTCTGGACTCGTCTCACAGCGGTTTACTGTCTTCTGTGGGCAGAAACACTCGACTGTCCTGCAGCTCTGCCAGGAGGAAGAGCAGACGACTGCGAGACCGCAGCGTGAGCAGGTACGACGCACTTTATTATTCTCATCTGCATTTGAAGTGACTATTCGTTAACTTACCCTTAAATGCATGAATGTTTCGCCAATCATTATTGCATATTCGGGTCTTTAGCGACCTGGACCTAACTGCTGCAATTGCAAAAAACTCTCTTAATATGTGTCCCTGCAGCACAAAAGCAGTGTTAAGTCGCTGGGGGATATTTGTAGCAATACGGACCTAACTGCTGCAATTGCAAAAAACTCTCTTAATATGTGTCCCTGCAGCACAGAAGCAGTGTTAAGTCGCTGGGGGATATTTGTAGCAATAGCCAACAATACATTGTATGGGTCACAATTATACATTTCTCTTTTATGCCAAAAATCATTAGGATATTAAGTAAAGATCATGTTCCTTGAAGATATTTTGTATGTTTCCTACCGTAAATATATCAAAAATTAATGTTTGATGAGTAATATGCATTGCTAAGAACTTCATTTGAACAACTTTAAAGATGATTTTCTCAATATTTAGATTTTTTTTGCGCCCTCAGATTCCAGATTTTCAGATATTGTCCTCTCCTAACAAACCATACATCAATGGAAAGATTATTTATTCAGCTTGCATGCATTAATCTTTCAATTTCAATTTCAAAAGATTGACCCTTATGACTGGTTTTGTGCTCCAGGGTCACATTTTAAGAACAATTACAGAAGAATAAATAAAGCATATTTCGTTACCTTTTGAAACTTAAAAGGGTTTAATTTGAGCAGATGATTTTACCATCGCGGTCATCGTTTTCAATGACTTCATATTCAATATTTTGATCACTGGCACCTTATTCACCACATCCACCATCAAATGACTGACATTTATATTTCATTGCTCTGCAGTAAAGCCATTCAAACCAATTACATTTTTGCTGATGATATTCTTTTGTTTTATGCCTGCGGTAATTATGAGTGAAACATCACAACGTCATTGTGTATCAAACAGTGCCACCTCGAGGAATAAAGATGCATTGCACTTTGAGTCATCAGATATGTAAATATAGTTGAGCAGGAAAAATATACTTGCACATTTTCACAAAATTCCTGATTGCATAGATTCCTATTGAAATGATTGAATTTTGCTCTCAAAAATTCGCTTTTTTAAACGTGTGTTTACGATTGTGATATTTGTTGTTGTGCATACTAGTATTTTTGCTTTTAATGAGGATGAAAAAGTTAGTTGTCTTCATGGCACATCTAGTTTCAATGGTGTGTTAAAGGTTTTGGTTTATTGATGTGAGACTTGGTTATGGTTTTGGGGTTTATGCTGGCCTTAAAAAGTTATAATTCACCCTTTCACAAATTAAGCCCTTAAAGGTCTTAAATAGACCAATTTAGAGTAGACGTCACAGTTACGTCACTTGCAGCTGCGCGCGCACAGTGGTTGCAGAAAACACTGGGAACAAGTGGAGATAAATGGGTAAAATCTATGGAATAAGAGAAAAAATATATTTTTGATGTCAAGATCATTTTTATAGAATACTGTCGTCAAAGACGCCATTTGAAGCTAAACGCAGACGTTTAAATGGACAAACTATGGATGAAAACTGTTATGATTACTCTACTTAAAGCATTAATTGGATTTAAACAATAGGTCTACATAATATTCACATATGCTGTTCATAGGGGACGTGTTGTATTAGCCCCCTACAGTTACAGCATGAAATACTATTTAAACCTTACTATTAACATTTTTACATAATGTTTATTTTATCTCACAATTCTGACTTTTTTTCTCGCAAATGCAAGTTTATATCTCCTAATTCGGACTTTTATAACTCGACTTAACTCAAAAATAGTGAGTTTGTCAAATCTGAGGGAAAAAGCCAGAAGAGCCGAAGGGAAAAGAGAGAAAGACGAGCTGTTTTTCCTTATTAGAATTGTGAGATATAATCTCGGAATTGCGAGAATAAAGTCAGAATTTTGAAATATAAAATCAAATTGACCTTTTATTCCATGGCTCCATAGACTGCCGCTTGAAAATCCTAATTTTCTGCCTCCAGATAGGCTCCGCCCACAACAAACGTCACCCCTGTTTCGGATCTGTAAGACTATCGCACGCTCTAACGTCAATATCGTTGAATAACAGTGCTTATCGCTGGCTGACAAGCTCTTGTAATATGCGGAGAACATTTTGAAAATGACATCTAATCAATATAATCTATAATCTTTTTAAACCTAACTATCCGTGTAATTCTCTAGCCGTAAAGGCTATCTCTCCCGGGTTTTCTGCACCCATGATGCGCGCGCATCCTGAACGTTTACAAACCGATAATTGGTCCATTGGAGCCGAAAGTCTTCAATTCATTACGTCGTGGCATGCAATTCAAAAATGAATATCTTCCTCAGTATTTTTGTCTTGTTTTCCAGTATAAATATCTAAACACCCTTGACTCAAGATACATTTACTGGAGATGCAAAATAATATGAAATCTTGTTTTCTGAGAAATTGAACGATTGAATCGATTTTTCTGACCCCATTGGTAGATATTTGTCCTTGTTTGAATTATAAACTCACTATATTTTAATACCGTCTTCTGTCTTGTATTTTGCTCAAGTAAAGAATCTTTAGATATTTACAGTGGGGAAAACAAGACAAAAATAAAGGAAGAACATCATATTTTTTGCAGTGTCATCTGAACATTCCGGAAAAAATATTTATATATTATATTTAAAAGGTTTTTTTTATAAATTTTTTTAATTAATTCAAAATAATGGAAATCGGTAGGAAGCTGCATTTTAAACTTTAAAATGTTGCTAATACAAGACATTAACATTTAGAGACCATATTGACATATTGTGTTCCCTAAATGTTCTATATTTGGTCTTGAAAACGTCTTAAATTCCCCTTCATCAGACCTGCAGAAACATTTCAAAACTACCGTTTTTGTCTTTCAAACTCATTTGTCGTCTCCAGAGTTGAATCGGGGAAGGAAGGCTGTTTCTCGCCCAGAGTCGCAAAGAAAGAGCCTGTGAGAAAGTCTCTGCGTCTGCGCTTCAGTTTGGATTATATTTAAAAGGTTTTTTTTATTTTTTTTATAAATTTTTTAATTAATTCAAAATAATGGAAATCGGTAGGAAGCTGCATTTTAAACTTTAAAATGTTGCTAATACAAGACATTAACATTTAGAGACCATATTGACATATTGTGTTCCCTAAATGTTCTATATTTGGTCTTGAAAACGTCTTAAATTCCCCTTCATCAGACCTGCAGAAACATTTCAAAACTACCGTTTTTGTCTTTCAAACTCATTTGTCGTCTCCAGAGTTGAATCGGGGAAGGAAGGCTGTTTCTCGCCCAGAGTCGCAAAGAAAGAGCCTGTGAGAAAGTCTCTGCGTCTGCGCTTCAGTTTGGGCAAATCCAGCCGAGAGTCTGTAAGTTCAGAAATCTCATCTCTGTCAACCTCCACCAGAGACTGAACAATCAGCCGCTCTCTCCTATGCATCCGTGATTTGCGTGTTTATAATTTGCATGATGGTGTCCTCTAACTTTTATATAATATTTATTCATGGGTGAATAATATAGCACTTTAAGAAGTTATGTTAACAGAATTGAGAACGTTTGTTTTGTTATTAATCTTGAGTACTCTCTTCTCTTCAGTGTTCTCTGGCGCCATCTAGTGGCAGTGTAATGTAGGTACATGCTGCTGTTAATGATGCAGAAAATCTGAGGAGAATATAGTGAAATCAGTCCATGCATACAGTAATCAATATTTTAATGTATTCTATAACGGTCTTGGTTTGAGGATTTTACTCATGCATTTTATGAAAAAGTGAAAATATCACTGACCTCGATGTTTAATATGTTAATATTAAAATGGCTTTAGTGCTGCTGGAAATGGTGCTTTCAGCAATCAAGAAAATCACATTTTTACACTTGTTAATTTTATGACACTAAGATAATTGATGTAATGTGATGTTTGTTCTAATCATTGTGTTCTCATTGACTTGCACATGTTGTAACATTGTGACTTTACAAGAGCAAATATCGATTATTTTGTATAAAAACCAAATATCAATATTATTATAACCGTTTTTATTAATTAAAATGTATCCTTGTGGTTTTGGGTCATTCCTTGCCATTACTGACGTGGTCATTATTTTATGCATGTGCATATATGCTCAAATAAAAAAGACGATTGACCAGAAACACTTTTACTATCAGTATTTCTTCTCTTAATTCAACACTGACACGTCTCAAACCATCACAAACCACTGAGAGTAAAAAGCAGCTGCCTCTATTTCAACAGAACGTCATTACACATTCACAACTGGGGCCAAAGGGGTCAGAGGTCATAGGTTGGCGCCTAGCGACACAAGAGAGCTGTTCTGGGTTTCACTTCACCAAGGAGCTCAGTCCGGCTGTTGTGAACAAGAGCCCCTCGAAAGGTCAGTATTGTTATTGACACGCTTTTGGGATTTTATGACGTTCCTCAAACTTTGCAACGCGCCTGGCTAATTTTAAGCTTTGAAAACGGCGGTTTTGCCTGCAGGAATATTCCAGGTTAAATACAGTTATGCATTTACAGTGGACGTCTGTGGGCTAATGTACAACGTGAGTTGTCCATCATAAGCCAGTGATATTGTGTGGTCATTATCATAAGGCCACCGATGCTGGACAGAACTTGTGTTTGAGCCTGTAATGTTGCGTTAAGAATACATAGTCTGAAATTTGTTTGCTTTTTTTTTTTTTAAAGTCAACATTACATCAAAATTGACTGTTTACTTAAATGGACACTTATGACCTTATGAATGATTCATGTCATCCAAAATCATTTTTTTTCTATGAATATCATGTCCACTTGTAGAGTCACTTCCGACCATCCGTTTGATTGCACATGGATAAAATTGCATGCAAGTCTTCTTATTTTATTTATAATTATCTAGTTTTATTTGGATATTCATCAGATTACAGAAGTAGAAAATGGGCTGCCTTTTGCCTTTTCATGTTGACCTTAAAGCTGTTGACGATTTGATTTCTCATACTTCATTTCTTCTGCACTATGAGTCAAAAGTTTGGAATAATTAAGATTTTTTTAAAGGAAGTCTGTGCGCTCACCAAATATGCATTTATTTAATCAACAATACAATAAATAACAGTAATGCTGTGTAGTATCGTTACAATTTAAAATGTAGTTAATATGCTGATTTGCTGCTCAAGAAACATTTCTGATTATTTTCGATGTTGTGCTGTTTACTTGCACTTTTGATCAATTTAATGTCTTATTTGTTTTGTTTTTTTATCTTTTACCAAATGTTTGAATGGTAGTGTAACAATTTCCACAAAAATATTGTGCAGCACGACTGTTTTCAACATTGATAATAATCAGAAATGTTTCTTGAGCAGCATATCAGCATATTATACTGATTTCTGAAGATCATGTGACACTGAAGACTGGAGGAATGATGCTGAAAATACAGCTGCGCATCACAGAAATAAATTACAGTTTAATTGATATTTACCTAGAAAACAGCTGTTTTACATTCTAATAATATTTCACTATTTATTAATGTATTTTTTGATCAAATAAATGCAGCACTGATGAGCAGACGAGACTTTTCAAAAACATAGATGTGTTTTCTTTGAGAATATTGTTATATTGTCCACGTTTGCTTCACAGGCTCCAAGTTCATCAGTAAATCCGAGGATAACCTGTTGACCCCGCAGTGTGATTCTACAGACCACAGGAGCTCGTGGAGCGGAGACACTCCTGACGTCAACCTGACCTTCCCACGGGATTCTTTCTCGGAGACTCCCGTAAGCATCTGTCTGAAGAGCAGCTACCGCTCCGAGCCCACCGTCATCGTGAGCAAACCTGCGATGGCCAGCATTCCCAAGCGCCTCTGCTGCGCCTCCAGTGACCGCAGCGCCTCGGATTCGTTCAGCGAAGAACGCTCTCACACTGGACCCACGCTACTGAAAATCAAGCAAGCTTTCGGCAAATCTGGCAGTGACCTTCACAGCATCGTTAAACAGCAGAACCACGACGAACCGCAAGACAGCCCTGGCGCAAAATCTGACGTGGGTTTGCCTTCGGAAGCCTCACACAAGTCAATGTCTAAATCCAGCGACTCGGATGATCACAATGTGACGTTCGGTCAACTCGAGATCGTTCCTTTGTCGCCTCTACATATAGACAGCGCTCTGTTCGACAGCAGACTGACACGGTTTGTGGAGACCAGCCCTGACGGGTCTCTTTGTCTTGAAAATGAAAGCAGGGCTTTCCTAAAAGAGGCCACTGGAGACTGCAGTCAACTGATCGACGCTTTAGACATCCGAAGTCCTGTGGCTTTCAGATTGGAGACGTCCAACAGAGTTCAATCAACTCCGTATGCAACAAGAACGCAAACTAATACCAATACATCCCTGCCGAGCGAGCTCAAAGAGTCTTTATTAACAGATCAGACCAACAGTCCTCAAGATCAAGCGGAGAAGCCACAGAACCATCCTGGAGCCACTGAAACACGCCGAATGAGAGTTGCCGACCAGATTAAACTGTTCAACATGATGACGCTGAATTCACCCAACGCCAAAGCGCTCCGCTCTCCTCTGAAGTTCCAGCGCACGCCGGTCCGGCAGTCCGTCAGAAGGATAAACTCTCTGATCGGAGGCCGGAAGGACACAAGGATGGGTTGGTGCGCCGCCAGTCGGATAAAGGCAGTAAGTTTAGAAAGTGGTTTGCAAACGTCCTCGAAACCCAAACCTCCAGTTCCTCCAAAGAAAGCAGCTGTCAAAGCGCTGGAGGACGTCACCAATAAAGCACCAAAGACAAAGTGTGACATGTTTTCGGCCAATAAGAATGCAGCAAATGAGTGTCCCAAGTCTGTCCTGCTACTAGTGTCTGAAAACGATACCAGTCGCTATAGAGGTTCACTTAAAAATCCTCTTATGGAGGGAAGGCCGCTGTCGGCGATGAAACCCATTGATATATAAGTCCCCATAACTTTAAACTCTTTCTTCTGCAGATGTTTTTGAACTCTTGCATTCAGGGGTCTTAATTTATTTCGATCATTTTACAGGTGAATGGTGCGAGTGATATTTTTACATTATGAGAAAATTGCTAAATTTGTTTCAGCATATGGATTGGATTTCAGGGTCGCTTTGGTTTGAACGTCAAACGAGAAGCAAACCCAATGTGATTTGAGGTCACGAATTTGAAATCCATAATTTTAGAATATGCTCGGTTATCTATTAGTTTTGCTGTAAGTGAAAAGACGAGTCCGTGAAAGTGTGAAGAGTGATGTTTGTGCAAGAATAGTTCACGAGTGTATTTAGAGTGAAAATGGATGTTTGTAAATTAGATCAGAAAAGGTTGGATTTGGGAAGTGGCTTATTTACTGTTATTTATGTTTTATGCAAAAGCTTGATTTTCATTCAAAAGGCCTGAAAGACAACGTTCATGGTGTAACTCAAGGAAATGTATGTTAAGCAGTATTATGGTCTTATGCGATTATCCTCAATGCTGTTGTTATTTTTCACTCTTTTATGAAGATGTTGGTCTGCTTTTGTACATGAAGTTGTCCAACTAAACTCTTTTTCTGATGTTTTGAAGTTCCTTTCTTCACCACTTGGTGGCGCACTTTGTTCTGCAGGACCAAGATTCGGTATTAAAGTTCATTGGTCTTCTTACATCACACTATTTGAATGGTTTTACTGCCAAACAATACACAGCAAAAAGATAGTTGGGACTAAAAGTAAACTTGACTTCAAAATGTTTATTACAGTCTGAAGCTGATTTGATAAAACTCCTGGAAACCAATGCAATATTTTGGCACGAACGAGAGGCCAAATCTCAAGTTAATGGGTTAATGTAAACTATTCTATCAGCATAAACGCTTATGATCAATATTTTCATAAAATGTCCCATCGTGTGTCCAATTTTTTTGGATGATTAATCATCCGTAATACATCCCTTTTGCATTGCGGCTAAACAGACCCCCTTTGGTTTCAATGCAGTTTGCCATAAAAATCGACACAATGAAGAACAGAAAGATTAAATAAAACAACCTCTATTATAGCTTGTCAAAGACTAAAAAATTATAAAATGTGAGAAACTTAATTCCCATTTATTTGTCTTATTTCCCATTGTGCTAGGGGTTAATTTGACCCACATTTTAATGTTCAAAACTAGCTGTACCAACACAAGAAAACATTAAATATGATCTAATATTATTTATACTTGGTGTAAATAGTATTTATTGCTATTTGTACTTTCCCTGCCTTTATGTCATGTCTTTTCAGGGTGAAATGGGTTTCTGACTTATTTTTAATACTGTAACAGATTTCTAGAAAAAACTAACGACCGAAAACAGATTTTTTTGACTCTGAAACTCACCTAAAGAAACCGAATTGTTCTTGGATGATTCAGAAGACAAGTCCTCAATTTCGAGTACACTTGGAGTCTTACATTTAATAAGTTCTCACACGTTTCATATTTTAGTGTCTGACAAACTAAAATAAAGGGTTTCTGTGTCTTACCTGATACGTCAGTGGTTTTCAGAGTGTGGATTTTTGGCTGATTGCATGAAAACCAACGGGGGACAATTTGACCCCAACACCGAAGTCATAATTTGTGTACAGCCTTTCCAAAACACACACACGTGTCGAAACTTTGCATGCTTATTCATAACCCTAAATTAAAAACATCCACCAAATTTCAAGATGAAATAAATAGTTTAACCAGTATTCCAAGCAGTTTGAAAATCAAGTATGGCGTGCAACACGATCAAGCTGCTCTGATTGAGAAAAATCGTGATTTCTGGCCTCATTTTCCCTGAAGATAGATCTGTACAGATCCAAACACATCCACTCGTGTGTAATGGACCACAATTTAATGCTTTCATCGCCATTAAGAAGCGTTTGGAAGGAATTTGGCCTTGAGAGAGAAACACAAACTAAAACCGCTCCGGACAGAAGAGCTTATTAGCTTGTACATGGCTCATGTACGTTATATCTGGCAGAAACCAGCGCGGTGGTGTGTTTAATAAACGACAATACGTACATATTTGTGGTCAGTTGTTTTGTAGCCAGAAAGAGAATAAACGAGGAACACATGCTGAGAATAAACTGACACTAACACACCAACTCTAAACAATTATGAACTGAATGAATGGGTCCGAATCAATCAAACAAGAGCAGATGTGTTGCTGGAAAGTGAAACAGATTAATAGCAGCGTATTTCTTCCTTAAAGGATTCGTTTATACAGAAATACAGATTCTGTTTTGTTCAGGTTAAATAAAACGACTTGATTATCATCACTCAAAGATTTTACTTTTAAACATAAGTTCGAAAAAATATTTTTTTCATAAAATAAATAATAGGAATGTGCAATGTAGGCTACTCGATATTTTTATATTTTTAAGTCATTAAATCGTAGCTGTTTGTAGAAAATAGTTTGAATGATTTCAGATATGTATGAAACCAACATGCCTACACAATTATGTTTAAGAGGAAAAAGTACTATCACATGTTCCAAAATAACATAAAGCAGCAAAAATCAGTATATTATAATGATTTCTGAAGGATCA